GGGGGGCCCTCCGGGGCCCAACCCAGGGACCCTCCCGGTTTCCCCCCCCCCGGGTCCCCCTTACCGGAAAAACTTCCCCTTTGCCCGGCCGGGGGGGGGGTTTTTTTTTTTTTGGCCCCTTTAACAAAACCCAATTTTAAAAAATCCCCCCCTTTTTTTTGGGGGGGGGGGGGGGCCCCCCCAAATTTTTGGGGATTTTGGGCGCAAAACCCGGGCAGAAATATAAATTTACAGGGACCCCCCCCCCCCCCCCCCCAGCTACTAGTTCCCAGCAGGTTCAGTTCCCTCACCCCATCGGGCACCAGGCCTTCTCGCCGCATGCTGTCCAGCAGCTCGACGGCCGGCTTCCACTTCTTTCCTCTGCCGCACGCTGACGGGAGAACAAGACAGCACCGGCGAGAGAGAGAGAGGCAAAAAACGAAAAAGCGCCGAGAGCACGGGCAAATCTCCGACGATGTTGAAAGACACAACCAAAACAACAAACAGCTCGGGCGCGGGGACGGAAGGTTAATCGATTTCTAAAAACACACCGGGAGTTTTGCGCACATGTAGGATGCACACATTATCACACGAGACATCGAATTGTGCACATAGGATACACACATTCACGCACGATGCACTGCAAAAAAAAACTCGTCATCCCGCCGCCGCCGCCGCCGCCACCGCCACCGCCGCCGGTACCATACCCACCGCTAATGGCGGCGTTGAAAGTAATGGTGTCAGGTTCCGGCAGCACCAGCATCGTCGAAGAAGACGCCTCCTCCCCCTCCACCCGGGGCTCCCGGAATCCCGTCCCCTGGTCCGCGCCGCCGCCGCCGCCGCCACCGCCGTCTACGTCGACCAGCAGCGCCCCCCTCCTCATCATGGAGAGCAGGTCCAGGGCCGCGTACCACCGGCCGCTTCTAGCCAGCACCGACATGGCCGCGTTGAGACAGATCACGTTCAGGGGAAGCCCCACGCGCCCGGCTTCGGCGATCAGCCCTGTGTCGTGTCGTTTCGTTTCCGGTTTGGGTGTGTGTGTGTGAGTGATCGCCCGCGGGGAGCGAGCGGCGGGGTCGGGCTGAAACAACGCTGGGATGCGTGGGGGAGTTGAGGAAAGACAGCACGGCAGGATAGGCTAGACTAGGGACAATGGAGGGTCGCAAACAGCAGCACCACTTCTTGAGCGAACACCGTGTGCTGGTCTTTCGTGGAGCGGACACGGGTTACACGGGTCGACCCTTCCGCACCGTACAAATGGCGCAATTATCTCCATGGACAAACGAGCAGACAGACAGACGGACCAACAGACATGACGTGGATAGCTTCCACCAATTTTTTGTTTCACAGATTCACAGAAACGAAACACCCTAATGAGACAGCGAAACCCTATCCATCGCCGCAACCTGACCGCAGAGAACTCAAACGAGGGCACTGTTCTTTTTTCTTTGTCGACAGGGCTACGCACCTCGCACGGCTTTCCACCCGCCGCGGTACCCCAGCTGTTTCATCCCTTTGGTGAACTTCCGCTGCCTGTGAGCGACGCAAAAGCAAGGCCGTGGGCGACGAAGACAACAACAACGGGTGCGTTATTGGCATACCACGTTCTCATGTGGCACTGTGCGCGCAGTGCACAAAACCTGCTGAGTTGGCATAAGCTCGCAGGGGAGGAAAAGACATCGCACGCTTACAGTGACACATGGCTACCAAGAGGTGGGAATCCGACACTGACAGGGGCAAGAAGAGGTCATCACTGCTCTTGACGACCGATTTCTAGAGAATGCAACAGAGAAAAAAAACACGACCTAGCACCATTTCGCAGCGTTTCGAGTCGGCCGACTGCATCCCTTGGTTGCAAGACAGTAGTGCGTGGCCCGTTGTCGGCATGGACAGCAGAAACATGGGCGGTGCTTCATTGTATGCCTATGTACTTCTAAGAATAACCTTCAGTGTCGTGCGTCGGGCCCATGCAGGCGTGCCCCTATTTGTCGGCGGGTCAGCAAAGCTACGTACCCCAGTTGGTAGAGGTAATGCCACAAGGATACGGGCCGTGACGCCACACACAAAAACACCAACACCTCTCATATCCTACCCACCTCCACAACCATGGGTGAAACGGAGTTTCGCAGCAGCACGAAAGGGAATGTACGCTACAATTGGCCCGCAGAAAAAAAACGCTGTAGCAATGAGGCTGGGCGTTTCGCGAAAACTGAGAGAGAACGGCTAAACAATAAACACACCTTCCGCCGTGGATTCTACTCCAAACTGTGTACAATGACCTATGCATATGTGTGTTCAACGGTGGTGGTGAATCAAGAAATTGAACCTCGACCCCAAATTGATGATTCTCATTCGCGAGCCGCAACTAGAACAGTAGTGTACAGTCGTGGTCCCAGTTTAGCGGTTCCCTTTTGGTGGGATGCCCCGAATCACGGTCATATATAACATTTTCACGAGCGTGAATAGCGGTCATATACAACATTTTCACGGGCGTGTGTAGTAAAGTGTTAGTACTGAACACTGTACTCTGAGTATTTTCGAAATACTTACTCAAGGATATACTCGAGGTTGAGTAAAATACTCGAGTAGCTGAGTACGCATGAGTAGTTTTGAAATATTATAGTTACTCAACAACCTGAGTATCGATGAGTATTGTTGAAATACTTGCTCAAACTGTGAGTACACACGAGAATAATTGAAAGGCTTAACTCATGGTTGAGCATTTACTCAAAAATACTTGAGTATGAGTATACTTCACCAAAACACGCCCGTGAACATTTTGTGACACTACACGTGCTAATGGACCGCTAAACCGGGACCACGACTCTGTTGTGTAAAAGCGGCAAGAGATGATGAGCGTCCCGGCTGTGCATGATACCACCCTCTATTCAGACTGCAAAGACCCACCCAGCAAGCCTTTGCCATGATCGTTCACAGTGTGAGGGGAGGAGCTTGGGAGAGGAGCCTTGCACCTTCACACACCGGGCCTACGCACGTTCGATACGCACCAAAAACAACCATGGGTTTGGTTGCAGCTGAACCCCCCTACAACGCGGCGGTACTCTGTGCAGCAGTTGTTTGTACAAGCATACACCACAGCAGGAGCAGATAACTCTGTATGTAGGACTGCAACTTGGTGGCACTGAGTCTTCTCTTTGTGCTGCGAACTCGGAGGCTGAACCCTCTCTGTTTTCCAACCTCCTCACCGGGCCTTTTTGTCGGGAGAGCCCGATGGCTATAGACCTATAGACGAATTTCCTACGGGCTGCGGGCTCACGAGATCGCAGGAAATGCAATCCTGATGCTCTCGTGAGCCTAGAGCCCCCCTTTTGCGGATTTTCTCCGCCCATGCACCTCCGTTCGCCGCGGGAATCGCTTCTGCCGGCAGCCCCGGCCCGCGAGAGCCTTGGCAGCGCTGAGATCGCCGTCGGACTGCCCGTCCCCGAGCGCTACCGAGGGCGGAAAGTTGCGTCTCCGAGATCTACCATGCCTCCACCAATAGCACCTCAATTTATTGACAGTGCAGGCCACTCATACATACATTCGGCAAGCGGCTGACGTGGATTGTGCGTGTGCGCTGGCTACACACCACACACCCTGCCACACACGACAACCAAGCCACCAAGTCTCCGCATGAGACGAGACAAAGTACTCTACTGCTGTAGTGCGTCTCCCTTTTGATCCAGGCGAAAGGCGGGGGGGTTAGCGGCCAGTGTCGTCCGCACAGCTGTCTGCAAAACTACACCCGCCCGAGAAAAAAAAAAAATGAAATACGTTGTTTGTTCCTCCGTTTCATGGAAATACTTTCTTTTTTTTTCCGGAAATATCTTCTGGAAAAGAGAGAGAAAAACTGGTTGCTTGATGTTTCTTTCTCAGTTTTATTATTCGACACACTCCCCCCCCAGTAACCCCTCTCGTGTCTTATGAGTAGTAGAGCATTTTAGGGGTCGCTCCTCTGTTTTCTTACTGAGAAGTTTCTTCTATGGTGTGGGCCAGGTGGAGCTATTATGTTACGTAACCCTATTTTCCTACTTTTTTCGTGGAAAGTGAGCGTTTGTTTCTGAAAAACAAACTTCTTACTCCGAGCAATTAAATACTCTGTCCTCCGGCCGTCGCGTAACATATGAATATAGTCATTGTGCGTCTTTGCTCTTCGAACAAACAAACAAATGTTTCCCTCTTCGCAGCATTTTTTCTTCGTATCTCTCATTTCAAAACTCCACCCGCACACACTTGCCATCGCCATTGAACCTACGAGCGTAGCGGTGACCGCGAAGCGGTACGCCGCGAAGCTCTTTACTTATACTCTCTGCGGCTATTATAGATAGCTTGCCTGCGAGCGTTGAATATGTTGTGCCTCGGGTATAGGACCATTGCCCGAGGCTAGAGGCTAGAGTAGTCACACACCCTCGGGCATTAGAGCAGTACACGGTGGTCGCACCCTCGGGGTACAAAGCTGTCGTGTCATGGAGGTTGAAGAGTGCCGATTTAGCGTCTTCATTTTGTAAGTACATCGCCGTATGATTATAGACGCTGCGGCGTTTCCTATCGGATTTTGAGCAGTACCCGATTGCACCTCGGATGTACAAGAGTACCCGATTTCATAAAAGCATTTTTTGCCTACGCGTACCATATTGTAAGTACCGCGCCGTTTCATTATTAACGCTGCGGCGTTTGCTATCGGATGTTTTGCGTCGGGTATGTAGGACCATTGCCCGATGCTAGAGGAGTCACACCCTCGAGCTTCACAGCAGTACACGGTCGTCACACCCTGGGGCTACAAAGGATGTTGAGCGGTGCAAGAGTACCCGATTTCATCTTCTACTCGTACCACGTTCAAAGCACCTCACCGTTTCGTTATAAGCCCTGCGGCATTTGCTATCGAATGTATCTCGAATGTACCAAGAGAACCTGATTCCATATCCATCCTCTTGACAACAAATAACGCTATTTTGCCAATAATTTTTCCCCTCATCTCCAAACTCTCCACCCACACACTTGCCATCGCCATGCAACCTACGAGCGCAGCGGCGACCGCCAATAGCGGTCGTCCGCGAAGCGCCCTTGTACACATGTACAGAAAGCCGTGTGCGCATTGTCAGAATGACGGCCCTTATTTGCAGAGGCGTCTGCTGCCCATGCGGCATCAGTACAATACAGCGTGTCTCATCATCATGTGTACACACATACATTGCCTCACCTAAGGTCGCGCTCATCCAGCTTCCTCATCGCCTCCTCCTCCTTACCGTCGCCACCACGGCCTTGGGTAGGCCGGGACACACCGGTCGTAGGGCCATCAGCAGCCCCTGCCCCTCTTGCTAGCAGCCCGCCCTGCCGTTGAAGTACGCTGGCACGCCGACCGACCCACCCACTCCCCGCAGTGAACATTGGCCGTCCACCAACACCAGAGACTACGGCAGTTGGACTACCCAAAGGACGTCTCCCCGCGGCTGCTGCTGGGCACACGTGCCGGCTCGTTGGAGCCGTCGTGCATGGCGAGGGCGGCGGGATGAAGGACGACAAGCCATGGTCGGTCACGGTGCCACCGTTGTGCTGCTGCTGCCGCCGCTGAGGAGGGGCCGAAAACGCCCCCGTGGTTGCTGCTGCTGCTGTCGCTGCCGTCAATGCTGCTGCTGATACTGCCAGAGAATACACGACAAAGCTCGCTACTCGGCGCTGGTCTCCCTCCTTCATGGTTGGCCACTAGCGTGAAACTAGGCGGGGAGAGAGAGCAAGACTCATGCCCTTCCTCCGAGAAGTTGCTTGTTTGCAGGCTGCAGGAGGACAGAAGCGGCGTAAATGTACGCTCGTGGTTGGATGGGGTCCACAAGGGGGCCGATTCCGACAGTCCCCCCTTTGTCGTGCAGCACGCCAGCACGCCAGCACGCCAGCACGCCAGCACGCCAGCATGCGTTCGGCTAGCTGACAGACGAAACCAACTCTAATCCAACGGAAAGCATTTTGGTTTTGAAGACGCCCCTACCTCTTTCAATTGTGATGCTAAACGATTTCCGCATCACGAATACTGTTGCTATTTAGCTGTGTATAGTGTAGACAGCCGTGGAAAGATGAAAACTGCGGTGTATCGTTTGTTGGCTTTGATGCTACAATGGATTTATCTCATTAGACTATTAGACTCTTTGATAGAGATGGATTCATTGGGTCATATTGATGAAATACAAAAAAAACATGAGCCGGTCCAGCCGGTCGACTTGGTGGTGTGATGGTTCACCTCGAAATACGCCTATAATACAACTACCAACGTACGTTGGAATTTGATTCCCTTTAGAAAGCAAAGTAAAAAAAGGTAAAACTTGCAATCAATCGCCGTGAGGTCGACAGGGGGAAATAAATATGGACGGCTGTGAGAAAAACAAGACGTATTATTATTTTTTGGAGACTACACGCAGCAGCATATAGTCTACATAGACTACAGCCTGAGTGTTGTGTGGCTCCGTTTTAAACGACAGCTTCGCTCTTTGGTAGACTGATGACGAGCGCAGAGAGGAGGAGCAGACGAGTTCCTAGATCGGGAGGTGGAACATTTTTTTTTGTAGAAAGATGACGAGCGCAGAGAGGGAGCAGAGGAGGTATTTATTATGCCTTGTGCCCAGCTATATATATTCTATCCAACCTCCGACGGGGTTGTAGCTCCCGCCAACCCTAAGGTATCTTTCCAAGCACCGTTCAGATCCTCGTCGTGCTCAAGTCTCACAACAACAGCAGTCTACACAAAGTCTACATGTATGTGACTTTTCTTCTTTGTAGTACCGGATCGAATGCGGCTGACGTCTGCATTTTGTTCCTAGGCTAACAAGACCTACATCGTTGTTGTTGTTGTTGTCGTGACAAAAATCGTTCCGGTCTCCGTTCATACCTTCTTATGATATCCGTACTGGTCCGACCGACATCCAAGAAGAAGAATCTCAGCAGAGCAATCATCAAGCAAGGCGCTACAGACAAAGAGATGTAGACTAAACAAAGTCCACCGAACAACCAACAACACTGGAACGTGACATGCATGCCGCACAGGAGATAGATCGACAGAGAGAGGAGATCTATACGCAGGGAAGGCCCGTCGTTCCCACTGGCCATGAATAGATACGAGGCCAAACAGCAAAACAGAAACAGAAGCAAACTAAGGGTCACCAATCAAGAAAGAAAATAAACACATGATTATGATTCTATCCTTTCACGGAGTGTATTTACTGTTGGAAGTGCTTGTAGCTCTATTCTACTGCATGGGTTTATGCGGTATTGTGAAGGCGTCGCCAAGTCTGTAACCGTCAGGTGAAGACAGCTTGGGCGTCGGTGTGAAGATAATACAATCACTCTGTGTTTCTCTACCCAAGCCTCCGTCGCATACGGAGCCACAGCATACAAGAGCCGTTGTCGTGCTGTTAGGTTATGAGCCTCGCGCGGTAGGGGAACTGACACGAGTCACATGGTGTCCGCAGCTCCCACCACGAATCCAATGCAACGTGGGTTTGTGCCTTTTGATGGTGAGGATGCGAGCTTCCCTGGATGGGTCACTCTCACACGGGTCGACTACAGGCGTTGTTTTGTTTCTGGCAGGTGGACCGGTGGACTGGAGGTCAACGGTGGTGGCCCTCTCCTCGGTGGAAGCAGAATATGTCGCGATGTCCAAGGCATGTACGATGATCATCCACTACCGTCACCTTCTGAGCACCATCAACCAGACGCAAGAGGAGGCGACGAGGATGTTCGAGGACAACACTGGCGCGATCTCGACTAGTGTAAACAACAAGATCACGCCGCGTACGAAGCACATAGATATCAAGTATCATCATGTAAGGTCGCTTATCGAAGACAAGGTAGTCGCAGTGGAGTACCTTGAGTCTGACGCGCAGAAAGCTGACATTCTTACAAAGAGTTTGGGTGCGGTGAAGTTTCTAAGGAACCGCCTCTTGCTCCTAGGAGTGTAAACACCTCCCCTCTTCAAATCGGTGTATGTGTGTGTGCATGTGTTGAAATAAATTCGGGAGTTTGTGTTGTAGGAAGGAAACACATCGCTGTTACGTAGCAGCAGCTGAATGAAACAAGTAGATACGGATAATGAGTTAAGAAGTTCTTTAGACAGCATTGTTTCGAGAGGACACGGATGTATATCGTTTCGAGAGGTCTTATGCATCGGAACTGTAGAATGACGTAGTTCTTGAGAGGACATGTTGGAAGTGCTTGTAGTACAAGAACGGCTCTATTCTACTGCATGGGTTTATGCGGTATTGTGAAGGCGTCGCCAAGTCTGTAACCGTCAGGTGAAGACAGCTTGGGCGTCGGTGTGAAGATAATACAACCACTCTGTGTTTCTCTACCCAAGCCTCCGTCGCATACGGAGCCACAGCATACAACAGCCGTTGTCGTGCTGTTATTTACCTCGGGGTTTGCATAGACTTGGAACTGTCCTACTTTCCCACGACAAGTACACACAAAAACGAGTCGGTCACGATCAAGGCACAGGTGCCACATATACTTCAATGCGCCATTCGAAAAAAACACACAACGAAAACACAACCAAGATGACGCGTGTAGTCTATCCCCCACGCCCCAACGTCGTGCCGGAGTATTCCATGGTCTCGTCGGCAAGGCTCCCTCGCCTCTGCCGACACATGAAAAACGGTCCAGCCGCGTGTCAAACGTACCCCAAGCCCACCAGAAATTAGAAGCAAAGATATGTCAAGTGTCAGCGTCAAGCCCAACGTGTCGAGGAAAGTGGGGGTGCTTGCTACCTACGGAAGGAGAGGAACGGCAACGAAAGACAGGGACAAAATGGGGCGGATCCCTTATGTAACACATTCACGACATCAATCACCGCTGTACCTACGCCCCAATTTCAGGTGCTGACCTGACGGAAGTCGCTGCTAAATAGCCGAACGACTAAATAGGAGGTATCTATGCATAGATAGTCAGTTCACCATTTTGCCGAAGGCAGCGTAAACGTGAAAAAAAAAAAGCCGCGCCCGCCCGCCCCCCCCGGGTCTAACCCTCTGCGCCGGCGGGCGCCTTCTTTTATTTTGTCTGCCTCTCCACCAAACACCCCCCCACCAGCCAGCATGCGAAAGACGTGGCCGTGCCGAGCGTCCTCTCACTTGGCAGCAGGGGCAGCAGCAGCAGCAGCAGTCGCAGGCCCTTCTGGCTCCGCCGGCTGCGTTCCGGTCGTCGCGACTGCGGCGGCAGCAGCAGCAGCAGCAGCAGCAGCAGCAGCACCGCCGTCGGAACCTTGCTCGTCCTCGGCGTCCCCCAGCTTTCCTCGGCACCTCAGACACGCGGAGTAAACAATCCCACTGAAGCAGCAGAACGCAAGCATGGCCCCCGAAAACCCACCCACAACATGCCAAGTCGCGACAGATGAGGACGACGTCGACGTCGACGTCGACTCGGCATCCCTCGCTTCGGAGTCGAGCACGACCGGGCTCGGCGTGCCGGGGGAGTCGCTGCAAGGCGACGTCGGGTTCAGGCAGTCGTAGCCGACGACTCCGCAGCTGTAACTCGAGTCGACGCAGTCGCACTCGCAACAGTCACCTGGCAGGCAGGCAAGGTTGTGTAGCGGGCACGGGACGGACGCCAGGAGACGCCCGGCGGAGGAAGCAAAAAAAAAAAAAGTTGGCTCGGAAACAAATCTGGGCATTATAGTATGGTACAGCAGTGGTGGCTACGACCTCAGAAAATCGAAAATATCTATGGACACAAAACCGACACAGGAAAGTCAAAAACCGTCTTGTTTCACGGCCAGAATCGTACTACCATACATACTACGGTCAAAGTCGGTCATACGAGCACTGTTTCATCTCGTCCAACCCTCTCTCATGGCATGGCCGATAGCCGCCACTGCTGGTTTCGGCCGCGCTTTTCGTGGAGGGGGCCACGAAGTTTCGGCGTGGCGTGCGCAAAGTTGAAGGATCGCAAAGGGTGCGACGGCGCGGCAAAATTGCGGGGCGTAAGAAGAACATGGGGAACAACGCGTCTGGCGGTACCGAGGCACGGCGGCCGGGTAGACTGGGCAAAGTCTTGGCACCGGGCATACCGTGTCGTCTATAAGCGGTGGTAGTGTTTTATTTATTACATGCGGACACCAAGTCGCTGGCGGCGCCGGAACGCTCTGGCAAAGGAGTGCAGCAGCATAGACGGAGAGACCGACCACCTTGCACGATTACTGGCGCGCGGTTGGCGTCAAGTGGTGTGGAGATACGCACGCTCAGACCCCGATTTATGGGAACGAAATCTTGTAGATAAAATCTTGATCTTGGCCAAGATCTGCCAGTTTCACGATTTATGGGAGCGATATCTTCCGATATATCTTGGACAAGATTTCTCAAGGCCCGAAATCTGCCCTTTCGAACGAATCTTGACCCAAGATCTGTCAAAACGAGCCTTCCGACAAATCTTGAGGCGGCGTAACAAATCTTGCCTGGGTGCGGCGCGATCACCGAAGGTCAGTCAACCCAATCGTCCATAACGCCATGAAATCTGCACGTGGCACATTCGCAAGGGTCTCTAACGCACCCTGGCATCACTGTGTCGGCGCCACGGGCACCGACAGCGAACGAAAACGACCCAGGCGCGCGAAAAAAATGCGTATTTGCCCTGGCTCGTTCCACGTGCGTCATCACCAGTCTGTCGAGGGACCGTTCAAAGAGTACTTTATTTTCAAGTAGAAAAATAGAGGAGGATGAACGTTTTGCCAACACAGCTCTGTCGTGTGCGACGCTTCTATCTCTTCATCGAATCACCCCACACCCATTCCGTTTGCACCCGAGCCAGATCCGTGAGTGCAGATGACAGCGCCGGAGGTTTGACCTCCGTACGCCTGCTACATAGTGAGATACGTGCACGGGTGTCATCGGCTTCGGGGTGATGCACTTTCTTGTCAGTTGGACAGCAATGGAATAATTTTGTTCCTCCGCTTGACATGAGCTCGTGGGCAACGGCTTCTATTTTGCACCCCAGGTAGGCGCCCGTTGCTAGTATCCGCCCATAGTGTTGAGACAATACAGCTGGGGGGGGGACGCTCCTTCTACAACTGCGTCATGCTCACTTTTCGCCACACCTTGGCATTTTCTGTGGACCAAGTGGCCGTTGTACCTTTATCAACTTCAAGCAGAAGAGAGGAACAACACGCCGCTTTTTCAACATTCAACATATTTCCCCCATAAATCGCGATACTGCAAATCTTGGTGGAGATATATTGTGAGCAAATCTTGGGTCAAAACGCCAAGATATGTTTGCAAGATTCTGTTTCCATAAAGGTCTAACACACATAACCCTATTGCTGTCCTCCGCTCTTTGCATCAGTGGATGCCTAGGTTCGGGCGAGGGCATGTGTGCAGCTGTGAACAATATGTGTTGCTATTTTGTTTTGAGTCATGTAGCTGCTGAAACGATGACTGCTGAATCTTGGCAGTGTACGATTTCAAAGTGGGCGATGCAGCATACCACGATATCCTGGCTTCGGCTGGGCTCGAATTACCCACTTTGCTGCCCTCTGCTCTGTGCATCGGTGGCTCCCTAGGTTCGGGCGAGGGTATGCATGGTGCTGTGACGTGTGTCCTTCCGAAATAATGTATACTGAGGGTCCTACTAGCATTCGCATTTAGCGCATTGCGCGTTTTTCGAATTTTCGAATTTTGGCCCCCTTCCACCAGGGACCTTGACTATACCCGCTGACTTCTTTTCATTGGCCAGCCGGTTAGCACGGTCGATACCAACAAAAAAAAAATACACAAACACACGTGAGAAAAGTCGTCAAAGTCTTTTACACGACGGCCGATGTACACGCGGCATCGCAACCCCCCCCCCCGCCCGACCCCCGCGCGGGGGTGACCACCCAAGCAAGCAAGCACGCATTTGACAACCATGACTCACCCCCGTCCCATTCGCAATCGGCGTGGTTGTTGTATGTGTCGCACCAGCCATCACCGACGAAGGAGGATGTGCACGTCGTGCTGTCGTAGTAGTTGAAAAGGTCGTCGGTGCCATAGAAGTCGTCACTGCTGTCCCAGATGTCGTCGGTGTAATACCCATATCCGCCGTACCAGTCGTCGGAATCGAACGTGGATGTTGTCGAACAGTCCGTGGAAACGGACGGGTCCTCGCAGTTGAAGGTGTAGTACCCACACGTGTAGGAACCTGACCCATCGCACGTTCAGGCAAGGGCAGAAGGCAAACACCGGTGGGGGGGGCACGTTTCGCCGCCGGTGTTTCGGATGATGGATAGCGGTGGCGTTACAGAGTCTAGGGTTGGGGGTGTACTCATAGCCGTGCAGGCCGTAGTCGTTAGGTCATTGACCTCGACTCCCTACAAAGCCGGGGAGGAGCACGTCGGGTTTCCGCCGGACCAGGCTACCACATCACCAAGCGCGAAGCGCCGTGAGGTATTCGGCGAGCGTACAGAGGGTGCGCTGCATCTTCCTAAAGGGTTGGGGGGGGGGGGGAACAAACATGCGCTGACATTCTCTGACAAGAATGCATTGGTACAATTATTGAGCCGCGGTGGTGGTTCGTTGAATAAAGCAAAAAAAAAAAAAAAATCAACTCATGAAAATCGTAGCCCACACGCGGCGCACGAAAACATCCCAACGTTCCACATGTGTGTCTCGTCGACGACGTTCTAGCTAAACGCCAAATCACACGTAGAATACTACTCCACAGCAGTACCAGCATATCGTGGGCAAACAAGCCGCGAGGGCTCTTTCGGAGACATCCAAGGGCACCGCAGGTTCAAATCTGTCTTGTTCAATACCCTCGTGCGGCCGTGTACCCCGAGAGCACCGCTGGCTGCCACCCTTGAATACGATGCAATCAATCCCTGAATCTTGCTGTGTATCTACGAAGCACACACTGTACATATGAGCTCGTTCCCCTCTTTCAAGTTATTATAGTAGCTTGCTTGAAACAGCAAGAGCGGCGCATTCTTGCATTTTTCAGCGCCTTGGAAGTTTGTGTGTCGGGTGTGTGTGCTC